GGTTATAACATGCCAACTCTTTGTATAAAGAGGTGTGATTGAATTTGTAAAGGTACAAATTTTTACCTCTCACATCTTAGATTCTGATATGGCATCAGATTCATTTGCAATTAATTTTATACTCAATGAGGATGGGAAAAAATTATTCTTCTCTAGTTATTTGGTGCGACAACATCATCTTCATACAACCAATCCAGTACATCATGCAAAAAATGAAATATTCTAAACTAGATTTGTGTTTTGTTCGAGAAAAAATGACGAATGACTCCATTCTAGTCAATTATGTGCTTGTTATTGATCAAGTTCCAGATGTTCTCACCAAACTACTCTCATTAGTTCTTTTTCAAACACTTAAAGAAAGAAGTTGATAGTCTTCTCTTCTGAAAAAGTAAGCATAACACTTGAAAACTATAAATTACGTAATGCAACAGACAAAGAAAATATTAATCAAATTAAATCTTAAAAGAGACAAGTAACAGGAAGTGCATTATGTTGTAATACTAATGCAATAAATAAAGAAAAATGCTAATCAAATTAAATTCTAGAAAAAGAGTAGTAAGAAGTGCATTAGGCGGATGATTAAACTAAATCCTTGAAGAGACAAGTAGTAAAAAATATATTAGATCCTTAATATTGTATAACTAATTTATTATTAGTTGGATGATTATAACGTACCAACCCTTTATATAAAGAGGCATGATTGGATTTGTAATGACACACTTCTGTAATATTAAATTTTTTTCTTCTCATATCTTAAATTCTATCATGGTATCACATTCATTTACAACCTATTATCTACTCAATTAATATGAAATAAATCTTCCTTCTTCTTCAGTTATTTGGCGCGATAACACTAGTGTCATCGTTCATGCAGTCAATCTAGTAGATCATGTAAAAATAAAACATGTTGAACTAGATTTATCTTTTATTCGAGAAAAAAGTCATGAATGACTTCATTCGAGTCCATTATGCGTCTATTATTGATCAAAAATGTTCTCACCAAATTACTTTCATTGTTTTTTTAAACACTTAAGATAGAAGTTGAGAGTCTTCTCTCTTGAAGAAGTCAAGGACAACGCTTGAAGATTATAAACTACCTAAAGCAACAAACAAGGAAAAATATTAATCAAACTAAATTCTAGAAGAGGTAAGTAGCAAGAAACGTATTAAATTGTAATATTAATGCAGCAGACAAAGAAATGTTATGGATCGAGTCCCACGGATGACATTTCATAATTCGGAGGTCTTCTACGGAAGTTGCTCTCAACCTGGTGTTGGGCCAACCTACTATCTTACCTCCCCTTACCCCATTACATATGGGAACAAGGGACAACCAACCATGTAGCAGGAAATGTATTAGGTCGTTAATATTGTATAATTAATTTTGGTATTAGTTAGGTAGTTATAGCATGCCAACTTTTTGTATAAAGAGGTGTGATTGAATTTGTAAAGAAACTTTTTTTGTAATATTAATTTTTTTTACCTCTCATATCTTAGATTCTGTCATGGTATCAGATTCATTTGCAACCTATTCTCCGTTCACTGAACATTAAATAAGTCTTCCTTTTTCTTCAATTATTTGATGCGATAAAGCTAGTATCATCACTCATGCAACCAGTCCAGTACATCATGCAAAAAATTAAACATGCTAAACTTGATTTGTGGTGTTTTGGGGGGAAATGACGAATGAACCCATTCAAGTCAATTATGTGCCTACTATTGATTAAGTTCCAGATGTTCTCACTAAATCACTCTCAGTGGTTATTTTTTCAAACACTTGAGGTAGAAGTTGAGAGTCTTCTCTTGTGAAGAAGGCAAGCACAACGCTTGGAAATTCTAAATTGCCTAATGCAGTAGACAAGGAAAGTGTTATTCAAATTAAATCTTAAAAGAGACAGGTAGCATGAAGCATATTATGTTGTAAACTAATGCAATCGATAAAGAAAAATGTTAATCAAATTAAATTCTAGAAGAGAAGGGTAGTAAGAAGTGTATTAGGTTGTTAATATCTATAACTAACTTGGTATAATTATATGGTTCTAACCTATCAATTCTCTGTATAAAAAAGGTGTGATTGGTTATGCAAAGACACACTTTTCTAGTATTAAGTATTTTACTTCTCATATCTTAGATTCTGTCATGGTATGAGAGCATCTACAACTTATTCTTTACTCATTGAATTTGGAATAAATATTTCTTCATTTCTAGTTATTTGGTGGAACAACCATAGTGTCATATGCAATCAATTTAATATATCATGCAAAAATAGAATCTATTGAATTAAATTTGTGTTTTGTTCGAGAAAAAATCATGAATGACTTCATTCAATAATTATGTGTCTATCATTTATCAAGTTACGTATGTTCTCATCAAACCACTCTCATCGATTTTTTTTCAAACACTTAAGACAAAAATTGAGATAGTATTCTCTCCTGAAGAAGTTAAGGACAACGCTTGAAAGTTGAGAATTACCTAATGCAACAAACAAGGAAAATATTAATTAAACTAAATCTTAGAAGATAAAAGTGGTAGGAAACATATTAGGTCGTAATACTAATGTAATAAACAAAGAAAAATGTTAATCAAACTAAATTCTAGAGGAGACATGTAGTAGGATCTGTATTAGATCTTTAATATTGTATAACTAATTTGTTATTAATTAGATGATTATAACCTACCAACTCTTTGTATAAAGAGGTGTGATTGGATTTATAAAGACACATTTTTGTAATATTAATTTTTTTACTTCTCATATATTAAATTCTATATGGTATCAGAGTCATTTACAACCTATTATTAACTCACTGAACTTGAAATAAATCTTCCTTCTTCTTCAGTTATTTGGTGCGATAAATTAGTGTCATCATTCATGCAATCAGTCTAGTACACCATGTAAAAATAGAACACACTGAACTAGATTTGTCTTTTATTCGAGAAAAAAATCATGAAAACTTCATTCAAGTCAATTATGTATGTCATTGATCAAGTTGAAGATGTTCTCACCAAACTACTTTCATCAGTATTTTTAAATACTTAAGATATAAGTTGAGAGTCTTCTCTCTTGAAGAAATTAAGGACAACGCTTGAAAGTTGCAAACTACTTAATGCAACAGACAAAGGAAAATATTAATCAGATTAAATTCTAAAAGAGGTAAGTAGCAAGAAACATACTAGGTTGTAATATTAATGAACCAGATAAAAAATGTTAGTTAAACTAAATTTTAGAAGAGAGATGTAATAGGAAATGTATTAAACCGTTAATATTATATAACTAATTTGTTATTAGTTAGGTGGTTTTTACTTGTCAACTCTTTGTATAAAGAGGTGTGATTGAATTTGTAAGGAAATGTTTTTGTAGTATTAAGATTTTACTTCTCATATCTTAGATTCTGTCATGGTATCAGAGTCATTTGCAACATATTTTCTATTCATTGCACTTGGAACAAAATCTTATTTCTTCTCAAATTATTTGATGTGATGAAACTAATGTCTTCGCTCAGTTAGCCAATCCAGTACATGATGCAAAAATGAAATATGCTAAACTAGATTTGTGTTTTGTTCGAGGAAAAAATGATGAATGACTCCATTCAAATCAATTATGTGCCTGTTATTGATCAAGTTCCAGATGTTCTCACCAAACCACTCTCATCAATTTTTTTCAAATATTTAAGACTCGTCAAAAATTTAAAATATTTAAGATATAAGTTGAGAGTCTTCTCTCTCGAAGAAGTCAAGGATAACGCTTGAAAGCTGCAAATTACCTAATAAAATAGACAAGAAGAAATATTAATCAAATTAAAGATTAGAAGAGACAAGTAACATGAAGTGTATTAAGTTGTAATATTAACGCATCAAACAAAGGAAAATTTTAATCAAACTAAATTCTATAATAGACAAGTAGCAAGAAGTGTATTAGGGTGTTAATATTATATGACTATCTTGGGATTAGTTAGATGGTTATAACCTACTAACTCTTTGTATAAAGAGGTGAGATTGGATTTGTAAATGCACACTTTTGTAGTATTAAGTTTTTTTTACCTCTCATATGTTAGATTATGTCAATTTATAATTGGATTTAAACAAAAACTCAAATTAATCGACTCGATTCAACTCGAATTTTATAACTTCTCAAAAAGATTTCAAGTCAAATTCGAATTATAAAGTATAATTCATCAACTCGAATAACTCAAAAAAAATTTACTCGCCTTATTTAATGTTCACCCCTAAATCTAGCTGTATTTGATGCAATGTAATAAGAGATATTAAGTCATTCATAACTTGAATTACTTTATATTATTTATATAAAAATATTATGATTTAAGCTAGAGGACAACTCCTCTAAGCCCAAGTTTAAATGTGTTATATATATATATATTATTTAAAAGTTTTAAATTTTAAATTATAGATAATAAAGTTTAAATTCTAAATGTACACGTGGCATTAAAATGGATAAAACTGTATAAACTAAAATTTACACCGTATTTATATCAAATCATATGAATATTAAAACTTGCGCATCATATATATATATATATATAATCATGTAATTTTTCAAAAAAAATTAACTAAAACTTAATAATAATAGCCCAAATTAAATTATCTTTATTGTAAAAAAAATTGTTGTATTCTTAAAGGTTTTATGTTCGAATACTAGAGATTGTAAAGTATTTAAACATTTATTGTCAAATGAGTAATAATATTTCGAACAAGTACTATAACTTATAAGTATATTATATTAATAAAAAAAACTTAATATTAATAAGTCTACACGAATTTGATTACAACTAGGCTTCTAATTCTTGGACTGTGGTGTGTCCCACCTTTGGGTCACACGATTCTCCATATATATGAAGGGAAGCCTTTATTTATTTCACGCTGGTTTTATAATTCACGTTGGACAGATAATCCCACACCGCCTACTGAGACAAGATATGAACCGATATCTCGTATAAAATAGATGTGCGACACCGAAGAAAAGCATGATCCTTCAGGCAGTAAACGGGATATGATGAGTGGTCTATACTCACAATATATGTGGGATGAGTGTTCGCCCCATCGCCTGGTTACGACACTCGGGCACTCCCTCTGTTTCCACCTGATCCCAATCTTGAAGGAAAATCAGATTGAAACAGTAGCACGTTTGCCATTTACGCCTCTATGCCTGCTTGGCATTTAGGGTTTAAAACAAATAAATTAGTAGTAGTACATGGACTAATAATAATTACAAAAATTCTTGAAATTCCAAATAATTTAACGATTTGTACAAAATGGTTAAAGTGAAATTCTTTGAATGACACCCTTTATGTTGCTTGAGTAAGCCATCCAAGACGTCCAATATATTCGTGTGTGAAACTTTCAGGGTCTTTCTTTCCCTAAAACTCCTCAGAGGAGAGTTACCAACACTCCTACTTGATGCCAAAGCTCTGATGCCTTTGCTTTTGTCTAAAGGAAGTTCCTGACTTATACTGATCATCGGGATCGATTTCCTCGCGATTGTCTCGTTTAATAAGTCGCGATTGTCCCTTTTAATAAGTAAACTTCTTCAGAGAGTTTGGTCCTCTGAGATTTCATCGCGGTTGTCTCATTTAATAAGTTTTCTTCTTCAGAGAGTTTGGTCCTCTGAGATTTTATAATGCCTTTTAGCGATAGAATTCGCTGCATCTTAGAGTAAGAAATGATGAAGTCATACCACCAATTCGAGGATGTATTCGTCCGTTTTATGTTTATCTGCAAGATGAAGTGTTCGTAGCCGAGTGAGGGTAATATTTGGGGCTGCATTCCTTCCGAATTTGATGTTGTCAGAGGAGAAAAACACACACCATGATAACATCGTTACGATGTTATACCAATTCATTGATATGCACATAAATTGAAAGAAATAGAGAAAGCTTCACTAAACTAGTATTTTCCCATTCTCCAACGCATCCAAAGCCTTGATGTGATGTGTTGTACAATGCAGAAAATGGAAAACAATGAAACAAATTACTTACAAAATGACATCAAACACATAACATATTAACTTTAGAAAAACTAGTTTTAGTCTGCTTGGTTGCGTAACTTGCGTTTGTAGCAACTGGAACAAGCCACTACAGTGTCTTTTCCATCTCATCCTTGACCTCTGAAATCGAACACTGCAGAAAAATAACTCGGGACGAAGTTATTGTAGAACAAACGAAAACAATACCTCTTCCTCGGTGTCAATGGACTGTATTCGGGACCTTAAACCTTCCTTAACAGCGGGTGGCAGTCCGTGGTATAATGTGTCCCTTACATTAGGGGGAAGCGAGGCCAGGCGAGCTGCCTACGGCATATAACTTCAGTTTAATCCAATATGGTAGGCCAAGATATCTGGTAGAAGTAAAAGGAACAAATAGAAAGACAAACTTACAATGTTATCAATCTGATTAATAAGATTAGCATACTCTAAAGAAAGTCCAGCAACACCGAGTTCTCGAGGATTTTCCGTAGTCTCCTTTCTAACTGATGTTTGAGTATGCCATGAAACGACATGAAATGATGTTCTTCATGCTTACAGTTGCATGAGAGATTAAGGGTTGAATCTATATGATTACCTCTAAAGGCTTCAGAGATTAATTGATGCATATAAGTAACAATATCGACGAACTTCTCCACAATCTGCAATACAACAGAATTACAGTCATTGCTATTGTTTACTTGTACACAGACTTAAATGTGAGTAGCAGATACAGGTTTGCGCTCAACACTTCTTCAATAAGAAAATAAAAGAAAAGAGAAAGATGTTAATAGGATGCTGCATTTGAGGTTAGCAGTCTCTAACAAATGTGGTGGAGATATAATCGAAAATGGATCGAATTTCTGCACACACAAAACGAGAAGAAAGATCGGTAAAGATGAATGTAACATCCTCCATGGCTAACCTATTTTAGGGAGATTTGACTCCATATCTCCCAGCCTTCGCCGACAATCCTGGTCAAATCTGTCTAATGCATTCAATTCATGGTACAATGCATGTAAACATATATTACATAAATTCAAATGTACGAGGTAGGGAGACGATATCGGATAAAGGGTCAAAACCCCAAACTAAAAGAGTATTAACTTACAGAGGTATGCTGAGCCAGAGAAGTTTGTTCTTTCATTGTCTGGCGAATTGTCCATCGAGTCTGATAGGTTGTACTAGTCAGTGAACATCAGCAACAGCAATGTAAGACTGAAAGTAATGCTACTACCAAAAAAAGTTCTTACTTCGAAAAGTATCGACCGAGGTTGTGCCATTGTGGATCTTTACATAAATCTCCGAACCTTATTACTTCTCTCGAAAAAACATCCAATTCATCCTTAGAAATGCCAATGCAGAAATTGTCATATACTCGAATATGAGTAACAATGATTAAAAGCACAAAGAAAGAGTAACTATCAAGTAACTTACCTCTTGTCAGCTGCTACAATGCTTAGCAACTTGTTCATCTCTGTAGAAACTAGCTTTTGTACTGCTTCAGAATTTAAGACATCATTTCTGAGGAATTGAATGTTTTCTTCTGAAAGTGACAGCAAAAGATTTGCTCCTTTCGCTATAGATATTTTATTTCCCTTTGAAGATAGTCCGGTAACAAAGCTACTTGCTGAGTTCAAGCTCTCCACGGAACTCCCGAGTGAATCGAGAACGTTGACTGCTCTTTCGAGGCCATCGGTGCCAGCACTTCCGAGAAATGAACTCTGTGAAACCAACAAATATACAAGAGGTAAAAAGGTGATCACATTCTTAGAGATAAAGATCCAATAGGAAATGACGATTCAATGGGCCACAGCTGATACCCTGGCAACTTATAAGACACTAGGAACAATAAGGATGAAACAAGCAATACCCTGGCGATCGAATTTTAAGGGGGTGCTGACGGTTCGAATTGCTGGGAAAATTCGCTCCGATGTATGTAATCGTTGCTTTAGGCGGATTGTCTCCCGAGCTTAACAAGATCGCTCCAAATTCTATACACCAAAAATCAGAGTGGATTGCCGGTGGTACTGCTCTTTTGATAGCAACTAAGAGAATAATTCGAAATATTTTTAAATGAGAGGATATGAGAATGCTTAGTGAATTGAGAGTGATATGAAGCTCTCTATTTATAGGCTAAGCTTTAGTGGTAAAATTGTCTAACGTAAATCATATATAAAATCTGATTAATTTTTAAATTAAAATAATGTCTGAAACTGTTGTAATAAAAGGATGAATTTAACCTCAATTCAGTCCAGGTTCGTGTTTCAACACTCAGTCGTTTGTAACTCCAGGTAATTAACTCTGTAACTCTTGTAATTACTCTGTAACTGACACAATAAACACACTGAACAAAGTTACAAAATTATCCAGATTCATTCAACGTTTTACAGACATAAATTCATAAACTGACAATTTAAAATTTTAATTTTCAGAAATCAAAACGATAGCTGATTAACTAGTTGTTACCCTCTGAAAATTAAATCTTACAGTGGCCTATAAATATCAGACAAATTCTTTTACAATTTCTTTTATCTTTGACACGTATTGTCACAAGCCAGGAACACGAGACGAGACAGACGGCAGCGCGACAAAATAGAAGAATGAACACTATAAATATCAAAGTCAAATAATATTTCCCACCCAATATGAGATAATGTTTTTCCGCATTACTAACAAGGGTTCCATTAATTCATAGGTGTACGTTCAACGATAGAGGCGGAACTGTGGGGAGTCCTAGAAGGGCTTAAATGTGCTTGGGATCATGGAGTAAGGAGACTGATAGTAGAAGTAGATAATTTGGTAGTTTTGAGACACTTGAAGGAGAAAACATAGACATTACTTGAAACTACAGTGGGTCATTACATAAAACAGTTAATTAACAGGGAATGAGAGATTAAAGTCTCATGTATACCGAGAAGGGAACCGATTAACAGATGACATGGCCAAACTGGGAAAAGAAGTGGAGACGACTATATACTCTGTCAACACCCCCAGAAAGCTTTCAGGAGTTGCTGGATGAGGAAGGTTGCAGTTTTAATAATTTAGGATAATTGTTAAGTTTTACTTCTTTATTTACAAAAAAAAAAGGTTTAGCTTAGAAATATTGATTGGTGCATTGCATAATTTGTATTCATGTGAGAAAATTTCTCATAAATATCTTAAAATGATGATAAATATTATCTTTCAATATTCAAAATTCTAAAAAAAATTATCATCATTTCAAATATATTTGTCCAACAATTCATTTTATTTGCCCAATACTCGTTAAATCAAATAGCACAATTTTAATTTTTTTAAATAAAATTAAATTCAATTTAACTCTAAATTTAAGGAAAATTCTACAATACACATCACACACTGAAATGTAGCACTAATTTTGTAGGGTAAATTTTTTAAATGGTCATTAAACAATAAATTTTTAAAATAATAAAAATATTTTTTTAAATATAACTTTATAATTAATATTTTAAATCATAAAATAATAATTATATTTTTAGAAAATATGAATTCGTTAAATCATAAATTTTTTATAATTTTTTTTATTTAGTTTTGATTATATTTGAAAATTATAATTTGTAATTTTTGAGGTCCAACCATTTCAGGTTAAACAATGTGATTCAATTCTTTAACTTTTGTTTTATAATTTTAAATACAATTTTAAAAATATATTTATAATTTCAAAAATAAATTTTAAAAATTCATATATTTTACAAATATTTTTCTATTTTTTAGAATTATTACTTAAAAATATCAAAAATAAAATTTTAGTCACAATTGATAGAGCAAATAAGATATTTTTTAATTAATTTAATATGTTACATTAGCCCTTAACATGGTTAAGTGTCAATACTTCTTTTTAACAAAATACAAATTTTAATACTCATTTTATAATTTTTTAAAATTCGAATGATCAAAAGGAATATTTTAATATAATTTAATGATTATTTATAAATTTATAATGTGTATATCGGTGCATGACATGCGATGTAGACTCATCCTAAATTTAACTAATGTACTTGTGATAATTATACACTAAAAATTTGACAAATAAAATATCATTTCACTCGGGCTTCCAAAGAAACTAGAAATGTCTTCCTGCAAGAGTTTTCCTCTAACTTGGGCATTGCCCAACATGTCTGACTTAATGGATGGATTATAGATTTTTCATTCCCCAGGCATTTGCTTAGCTTTCGTTCTCCCATGCAGGAAGTCAGGAATTTTTGTGAAGACAACTCTTTCTAAACCACAAATCAATATACATATATAGATTATATTTAGAATTTAATTAATTTTTTTTCTCTATTTCACTTTGACTAATTATGACCGATTCGGATTACACACCTGATTTTGGTGGGTGGCCGGGGGTGGAGTTCTCTTAAGACCCAAACGGGCCCCAACCCCTATAAAAAATTATATTCGATAGATTTTGATCTAATAGTATTTTAGTTTATATAAAAATAAATATTTAAATTAAAAAATATATAAGAATTTATTAAATATTTAATCAAGTAGGGGTCAAATAAAAAATGATAATCCAATGTTCTTTAATTTTTCATCTAATAACAATTTATGTCATTATAAGTTTAAATATTAGATAAATTAGACAATTATCTTCTGAATTTTAAGTTTAAATATCTAATAAGTCATTGCATTTTTCTTAAAAAATTTAATATTTCGACCTTTGTCAATATCTAATTTTTGACTTCGTCTATGTGGGTGACTAATTAAGACTGATAATTATTTTTCATACGTTGAACTTTAATATAAAATATTTTCTAAATAACATTGAGTTTATCATCGTCTAAAGATGAGGTTATTAAAAGATTTATTGATTGTTCGGTCGAAATCTTTAATAATAAAATTATATTATTTTTTACGAAGCTTCTAGATAATTTTAAATCAAGATTTTTTTATCCCTACTCTATAAAAAAATTCTAAAGAATATGATCACTAGATCGTATCATACTTATCGTAAATAATATGATATGTCAAAATATTATATAATTTATTTTGATTGATTTAGATAAAGAGTCAAAATGATCTAATTAAAGGGTACGTAGACTTAAAGAATAAAATTATAGAATAAAATTATTTATCAAAATTAGATGTACGACTCGGATTGATTCGGATTAATTTAAACGAAATCTTGGGAACATGAAGAATAATTAAAAAATATATAGAGTAAAGAGAGTGAATTGATGAAAAATCTAAACAATAAAAGATCCTCGATTGAACAAAATCTTAAATTTTATAAAATATTTCGTAAACATAATAACTATATATTATTAAAATTTCAATCCAACCTAATTCCCTATACATAATACATTGCTAAAATATCTATATATCCTCAAAAGTGAAGCATTCTCCTTGTAGTTTATAAAGGTAATTTTGGTGGTCTCCCAAGCTAAGACAAAGCTAAAACGAAAAATACAGGGGGGGGGGGAAATCTCATTAATCAATACTGCAATAGTCTTCCCATGGAAATAACCGGAGATCCTCCGCCGTCATGGTCACAGCCGACAACGCGCCGGCGTCAGCCACCATCTCCTATTTCTTTCACCCCATCAGTTCTCATTCTCTTACCCATCACCGCATTGCTCGTCTCTCTCTTTGCCGTCCCTCATTTTCTCTCCACGGCAACTCACATTTTAAGACCCGTCGGAGAAAAGAAAAACTGGGATTCGCTCAACGTTGTTCTGGTCTCGTTTGCGATTCTTTGCGGTGTTTTTGCTAGAAGAAACGACGATGAAGATACCAACGACGACAACATCAACAGAAATGATAATAATGATAATGAAATTGACAAGCCAAGCCACATTGTTTCGCAGCAATGGTTTAAGTATTCGGAAAGATTGATGTCGGCACCGGATACCGGCGTTACAACTTTAAAGAGAAGCAGCAGATCGTACCCGAATCTGAGACAGGATGTGTGGAAGAATGATGATGAAGATCGGTTTCGTTTTTATGATGATTTCGAATTAAACAGGTATCGATCTTGGACGAATTGTAGTGATCAAGTTCATGAGCTTCGTAGGACGTGTAGAAGTGACTTTGAAGAATGTGAAACCAAGATCAGTCCTGTTGACACTTCCGTGTCTCCGCCGCTTTCGGCGCCGTCTCCACCTCCAGCTTCCCGCCATAAGCCAAGACGAACTTATCAAAACGATGGAGGGGAGAATGTGATGGATAAGAAAGATCAAGCTGATCGATTCAAGCAAATCAAGTCTTCAAAGCCCGTAATACCGCCGCTTCCGCCGCCGTTAGTTGAAATGGGAAATATAGCAGAGGTAAAGCATGCGAAATTGGAAGGACGAAGAAGTAATCCAAGCAAAGAAATAAAGATGGTTCTTGCTTCGTTAAGAAAGAGAAAGAAGAAGCTTAAGCTAAAGGATCACAAGCATCAACAAGAATGCCCCTTGCATTCGCCACACGAGCCACCCTCCTATTATTCTATTATACCTCCTCCACCTCCACCACCACCGCCGTTTCCATCTTCGGTCTTTCAAAAATACGATCTCTTCAGAAAGTGCGGTAAAAGCAAACAAATTCGTTCAGTTCCAACGTCAACGTTTTCTATATCAATACGATTATCGAAACAAAACACTGAGATCCCACCACCACCAACACCTACACTGCCACAGGTACTTGTTTCTACTAAAAGATTATCAAACCAAAATAATCAAACCCCACCACCATCAGCACCGCCACCTGAATCTTCGAGGAGAAGAGCCCCAACCGACAGTGGCATGCCGCCATCGCCGATAAATGTAAATAATAGTTATTGTCAAGAGAAAATGAGCAACGGTGGACAGTTACCGTCAATTCCGATGCCGCCGCCGCCTCCGTCACTGCCATTTAAAATACCGGAATTTGAGAAAACTGATATCGATGTTTCATCAAGCAAAGATGATGTGGGAACGGACAGCATGATGGACGACCCTGATGTTAATGCTAAAGCTGAGACCTTTATCGCGAGGCTTAAGGATGGTTGGAAATTAGAGAAAATAAACTCCATGAAAGATAAGATAAATCATATAACAAGTTCTGAGATCCAGCAATTACTGTTGATGAACAAATGATTCAGACATTGCTCCAAATTTTCTGGTTGATTTGGTTTCTCCGTTATACATTCGATTAATTAAAATTCATTGAATATTGTGACAGATTTAATTCTAGTTTATAGGAGTCCATACGTCCATTAGGAATATGTATCTATTCGTAAGAGAATAAATTTTATATTTTTAGAAACAAAAAAGCCTTGCTGCTAGATTTTTATCAAAATATTTTTAATTTAATATTATCTTTAGTATATATATTATTTATTTAAATTTTTTTAATCATCGATAATATATTCATTACGAACACAAATCCTTAAAAAAAACTACATTAAATTTGATCAACCAAATTCACTCGAAGAAAATTTTACATACACTATATACATATACAAGTGTAGATGATAAGATTATGGGAAAATAATTACTGTAAAGTAACTTTCTTAACTTCCATCTCGGCTTCACCGATCGCCATAGTCGGGTAATACCGGATCCGGGTGGCGATTATAGGGTACCCATTGTCATCCTATTCTTCAATTTACACTGGTCACTCACCCTTTTATCTTTTTTGGTCAACCAGATCATCGCCGGCGAATAATTCAAAATCCGGCGCCGCAAAATCATCGCCTTTGAGCTTCATCAAAGCGAGAATCATCATAAAGTGATCTCTTTGAGCGGGTTATAGTATATAGGCATGTCTTTCAATGGCTTCCCTCCATTCATTTCAGCTCAGCTCCATTATCTCGTCAATTACTTCCCCGAAAAAATCAAGGTAATTCCATCTAACCCCATTCCCATATTTCCTTCAAATTTCAATGAACGGAATTACTTCGATTAAGAACTAGGGTTCCATTTTAACAGTAACGGACATTTCAATTTCTCTTTGTAGTTTTGATTTGCGGGTTGAGCAGGTGTTATCTGGTGGCAAAACCTACTCGGGGGGTCTCGATCGATTCACATTGCTTATTCCATATTGCTTAGACTATATTAAATGTCTGTAAGATTTTTAATTGTGAAATGCAAGATTTGTTAGGAAATTGCTTTCTATTTAGATGATCTTATATAGATAATTTGTTTACATTGATCCAGGGGGTACTATATATTCCCATTGGCTCCGCCGGATATAATATTTGGACCCGAAGACGAGGATTTTCACACATTACACATGTCTGGCAGTGTAGGAGAGGGGGACTTGAAGTTTCTAAACATGTTGTCTGATTGGAACCATAAAGACCATGCTAGAATTGAGTTTAGGCTTGATGTTTACTGGAACTTGCTATTGTAATGGAAAGCAAAAAATTTTATGGTTTGCGGGGGGGGGGGGGGGGAGCCCTAAAAGTTCATGTTTTTTTCTTGTTAAATAGGGACCAACCAATATACGGCTTACCGGAAGAAACGTGTTGGAGAAGTGGATGATGATAGGTTGAAATTTGAGATAAGCACTACTTGTTCACGAGAGGTAATCTCTTGGCATTTAACTTTGGTTTCTGATGGAGAAAGAGAAGATCATACTGTGTTGTTTTCTCAACCTAATTTGCAGTTTTATATAATTCCCATCAAGGTTAAGAGTAATGAATGAGGAGATAAATGTGCAAATACAGAGCCATATCCTTTATAATACCCTTTTTTCTCAATATTTGTTTATCTTGTCACAGGAAGTCTGTCATTGAAGACCATTAACATCACATATATAATCATAATTTACATGTCTTTATTCTTCGGTTTTCAGTTATTGTGCATGTCTATTGCCATTTGTAGGAACTGAAAGATACAAATTTGCCCATCACATAATTGCATATTGAACATTTTAGTATATTTAGACTCCACTAAGCCATTGATATTTAATGTAATTATATGAATCTGAATATATATCCCCCTATCCCATCTTCTTTTTTTCTATTTAACTTAGTTTACAGTTTGCCACTGTTGAAGCTCTTCAATTTTATGAGACACTTGCATTTGTAAACGAATAATTGATTAGTGCCTTAACTTCTTCCTCTTTTCATATTCCTTAACTGTACTGCAGGGAATTGAAATGCAAATTAGTTCAGGTGCTGAAAAGGTATTCCTTTGATGGTATGGTTTATAAGTAATTTTTTTGTGCTTAAAAATAATTTATTTTTAATTAAATCCATGATCTTATGCCTTTGGATCTTAGCTTAGCCAGAGGAGGACAAATTTGCTGTGCCTCTCATGGATATGAACATAAACAAAATGGTGCATGGATGCCCCTGGAGACATCCACAAAAGATTTACTTACAGGTTTACCTTTCCTTCTTTTCCTTCTCATTTATGTGCAATTTAATTCTTAAAAGTAATTTGTATGTATTTGATTTGTTGTTCTACTTCTTTCTTCCCTTTTTCCCTCTATTTCTTTCCCACCTCTATTAAGCTTTGTAATCTTACAGGTAATATACCTGTTGGAAAAAAGAATGCATCTACTCTCTTACCAGCTCGTCTGAAATTGATGTCAACTACTGAGCTTAGAGCTCTGTTTTCCATAGAGGATGTCAAGCTTCCTTCTTGCTTGGATGCAATGTGAGTGATGTGCATTATTCTACCTTTATGTGTTGCATATCTTAAAAGGGAAAACAATTTGTGCTGACAAATTTCAGTTGTTTTTTGCCTTCTCATTTGAAGGTGCATGGCTGAATATCTTCCTCATCTAGAAGAATATCTTCCTCATCTAGAAGAATCTCTTCAGAAACAGGTCACCTTTTCATCTTCTAGGCTTTACGTTGAGTGGTTAGGAGCAGGAATGATCTGCAATCTTCTTTGTTCTCCTGGTTGTGGAAGCTTTTCCATTAATTCATATAAGAAGACACTTTATAGAGTCATTAGCCCCATTGTTTGGAAAACCTTTGGAAGCTGATCCGGTGTGCACTAAATGTGCCATTTATCTTGATATATTAAGTCTTAAATCCTTGAACTTTGATTGTTTGATCGTCATTGCTTTCTGTGGCAGCTCTTTTGCAGAAAGGCCACATTTCTTGCTTCTTCTGGATCCTTTGTTTTCCTGGTACCATTAGATAATTCCTGATTATAGCATTTTCTGTTTTGGTGTTTGCGATGGTTAAGCTTAATAAAGGATTACTTTTACTAAGCTTGAATAAGTTCTAGATCATGTAGAATGTTTTAGTGACATTATGATTGCATTTTATTTTAGAACAATTAGTTTTTGTATCTTGCTTGTTGTACACGTACATTTTTTTACTGAACTTGGCCTCCAAAATTTAACTTTTGATAGTACTGTTGTTGTAGGTACATTTTTTTATTTCAACTCAGTTTCCTAAGCAGCAGCCAGCTCTTATGCTTCAAAGTTCTCAGGTAATACTAATTGCTTTTCCTAATGTAAAGTCCTCAGGTTCTTGAGTAGAGTATTTAGATACTATTTTAAGACAGATTGATCCAAGATTTTTGAATTCATCGTGTTGAGGGGTCTGGAATAGCGATACAATTGTGTTAATTATACTTGTGATGATATTTCTGAATAAGTTGTATGGACCAACTGGCTTTTATGGTTCTTCACAGTATCAGTTCCTCTACTTATTGAAGAAGTTCTTCATTTTCACTATTTTCTTGGCTGATTAAACGGTTCTTTTGCAAATTTGATAATTACATGTGTTATCATTGTGAAATACTGCAGCATATATCACCGCAAGGAATACCGAAAAAGTCACCCCTTCTGTCGGAATATCCCTGGAGTCCAAGATGGGAAGCATCACGAATGGCTGTGCAAATATTGTGAGTTTCGTTACTGTCTATATAGATTCAGAATTGGGGTTTCTGCGTGTTTTGCTCATGTGAATCGATTTCTCCAGTGACTTCTTGGCAGATGAGGCTTTGAACTTCAAGTGGTTCTGTAATGAGTCTCAACCTCAACACTAGACCAACATGAAGATGCTGAAGTTTCGCAAGGATTATGGATTATGTTTTATTCATCGAAGCTGTGTAAAAAAATGCTTAATGAAACATTATTTGGTAGCTTTATTTCATACATTTTCGGAAATGGTGTTTAATTTTGCAGAAAGGAAACGCAAAGCTTTTTGTAACTTTTAAATCATACTTCCGTCCAAAGGAAGTTCGGTCCAACGCGACTTACCAATTGATATAAACGGAAATCACATTTATATAAACAATATGATCAACAAGCTTAGATAAAAGCTCGAATTAAATGAGTACTGTCCGATTTGTGTATTTAGTCCTCTTATTGTTTGTTTATTTCTAGACTATTTTTATGAAAAATATATTATCAACATAGATCCTCGATTTTTCTGTTAATTTTGTAAAATGTATATAGTACGAGGACCATATATACGATTTATCCTTCAAAAGCCGAATTTGGGAAATTGCGCTTAACGTCCCTAATGAACGCAACGCTGCCCCTTCTTTTTTTTTTTTTGAGTAAAACGCTGCCCCTTCCTTTGGATGGGCGGGAGCGGGCGGTTAGTTGATGTCCGTACCATCTCTCTCAAAATATATCAAACGTCCCACTCAGAGACAGACAGACAATACTTAAAAAATATCATCTCATCTCCTTATATCATCACCATTTCCTTCTTCAATTTTTCCTCACCAATTCGCTCTATTTCCTCTCCCAACCCTAGTACCTCTAATTCTCCTTATTTTCTTTTTCGAAAACAATCGACGATGAGAGAAATCCTTCACGTTCAAGGAGGTCAATGCGGAAACCAAATCGGTTCCAAGTTTTGGGAAGTGATTTGCGATGAGCACGGCATTGATCCTAGTGGGAGGTTCAATACGGATGGCAAATCATCCGAAAACCAACTGGAGCGGATCAATGTGTATTACAATGAGGCTTCCGGTGGAAGGTACGTCCCTCGTGCGGTTCTCATGGATCTCGAACCCGGTACTATGGATAGTATCAGATCTGGTCCTTACGGCCAGATCTTTAGGCCTGATAATTTCGTGTTTGGACAATCTGGTGCCGGAAACAACTGGGCCAAAGGTCATTACACTGAAGGTGCTGAGTTGATTGATGTTGTTCTTGATGTTGTTCGTAAAGAGGCAGAGAACTGTGATTGCTTGCAAGGTATACACATTATTTCCCTGTTTTTGTATTTTCATAGTAATCGAACTTATTTCTAGTGTTTATTGTCCTAGATATTTAGATTTCGGTAATTCTGCGGTGATTTTCTTAGAATTGTTTCTAGAAGTGTTTTTTAGTGCCGTTTTACATTTTTGTTTTCGCCTCGAAGTTCGTAACTCTTATCTCTGTTTGAGTTGCAATAGCACTTTCATGATAACGACATAGCTGCTCCTTCTCTTGATCGTTTGGTTTCCTTACTTTAGGCGGTGAGCATTTCAAGGTGAAATCATCTCAATTTTACCTATCTTACAATCTGTAAACAATAGCTAGATCTTCAAAATTATAATTGATTATTCACTGTGCAAATTACATGAAATGACTGCTGCTTTGTTCCATGATCCACCTTTTCTTTGGTTGGCTGACGGTTTAGACTGCGCTGTTATTAGTAAGATCTTTTTGTATGGTGTGGAGGCTATAGTGGCCACGGGTCTTTATCTACCTTTTATATATATAGTTAAATAAGCAGATTTGTTTATCTATATGATTTTTACTTTCCTTTTTTTATCTTCACTGTATGATTTTGATTGCCCAACAGCAAATCATTTTGTTTTTGATTCTATCGACAAAACTTTTGGAGCCTTGTTAACCTTTTTTAATGAATTTAGAGCATTGGGGACCCTTACCAGCTCATCGTCATATGAATGCAGTCTTTGCATTATTATTATGGATTGGCCAATATTTAACATCTAATCTTGAAGCAACAATGATCTCTAAATGAGCATGGGAAATCATAACTAACATCCATATATGCATACACCATGTGACTTTGTATCAATCTATAAGAACAGTAATCAAAAGGTAAATTGTAACATTGGCTTGTTTGATGCAAAATATTAAAAGTAGCAAGTACGAAAAGAAAAGAGAGCCATATTTCTGGATCCAGATCTATATGAAAAAGACAAATACTATCATCGTCATCTTATAATGGTATGACTGCTGTGAAAGATTTGGTTTGTTGCTATTATAATTATAGTAACTCTGTGGTCAGTGCCCAAAATATATAATCCGTAACAGTTGGATCTGGCTCAAGTTGATATGAATTCCTTTTGTTGATTGTAGTATTAAGTATATGTTGGAGCATGTTAATCTTATCTATTGGGCGATCTGTTGTTTTAGAGAAGGGTTAGCTTAAAAAGTTACTTTAATTATTTGCATTTTAGTGATGGTGAAATCTTAATGGTTAAATAATATGGTCATACGCCTTTGAATATTCTGATGAAGCTCACTTGTTTATGTTATTCCTGGACCAGGCTTCCAGATATGCCATTCACTTGGAGGAGGCACTGGCTCTGGCATGGGAACTCTCCTTATTTCAAAAATCAGAGAAGAATATCCAGACAGGATGATGATGACATTCTCTGTTTTCCCTTCGCCAAAAGTCTCGGACACAGTTGTGGAGCCGTATAATGCCACCCTTTCTGTGCACCAGTTGGTTGAGAACGCTGATGAATGCATGGTTCTTGACAATGAGGCACTTTATGATATTTGCTTCCGGACATTGAAGCTCACTAATCCGAGTTGTGAGTGAAAAAATATTAATCTTGATGGATGGTTTGCAATAAACGTGAAACTAACTCTTCCTTTTTTATCCTGCAGTTGGAGATCTGAACCACTTGATTTCCTCAACTATGAGTGGTGTAACATGCTGCCTTAGGTTCCCCGGACAGCTGAACTCCGACCTCCGAAAGTTGGCTGTGAACCTGATCCCATTCCCACGTCTTCATTTCTTTATGGTTGGGTTTGCACCCCTCACATCCCGTGGTTCTCAGCACTACATTTCTCTCACAGTCCCGGAGTTGACTCAGCAGATGTGGGATGCCAAGAACATGATGTGTGCCGCTGACCCTCGCCACGGTCGCTACTTGACAGCCTCAGCTAGGCAAGATGAGCACCAAAGAGGTTGATGAACAGATGATTAACGTTCAGAACAAGAATTCTTCATACTTCGTGGAGTGGATACCCAATAACGTGAAGTCCAGTGTATGTGATATTCCACCAAGGAGCCTGACGATGTCATCGACATTTGTTGGGAACTCGACATCAGTCCAGGAGATGTTTAGGAGGGTAAGCGAACAATTCACCGCAATGTTCCGTCGCAAGGCCTTTTTGCATTGGTACACTGGTGAAGGGATGGATGAGATGGAGTTCACTGAAGCAGAGAGCAACATGAATGACTTGGTTGCAGAGTATCAGCAATACCAGGATGCGACCGTGGAGGACGATGAGGGAGAGTACGAGGATGAAGGTATGGAGGAGAACTATGAGAACTGAAAGAAATTGTGACGAAGCCAATTGAAAGTTTGAGAATAAAAACCTTCCCTGCCGATATACATTTCTTCTACAAAATACAAATAGTAGGTGTGTAGTTAATTGTGCTTGTATGATTTCTTGCTTTATTATTGTATTGTCTTTCCTAAGATGATGTTTTCTTTTTGCTTTTTTTCTTGAATAATAAAGTGAATAAAACGCAAACTAAAGAGCTAAAACAACATGCTTAATTATGTCCTACTTCGGCTTGATACAAAGCCTGAACAGCCAAACTAGTTTAGCCATACCATCAGCGACTTGGTTTCTTCACGAAGGACATGAATGAACTTCAATTGCCAATCTCTATTCAACAGATCAACAATGTGTGATTTTAAATGTGAATGCAATTCCATTCTTCCACCCTGCTTAAGCAGTGAGCTTATATCCTTGCTATCGACTTCAATTATAACACGGTTGACACCCATCTCCCAAGCCATTCGAAGTCCTTGGAAAGCTCCCTAAATCTCTGCGTCCATAACCAAGCATAGACCAACATCCTTCGAAAATCCACTTACCCATAAACCTGTAGCATCACGAATAACCCCACCACAAGTAGAGAAGCCAGACTCGGATCTATGTGTACCATTCGTGTTCAACTTAACCCAACCTTGCGGCGGAGGACTCCATCGGACATTCTGATGCTGCCTCATGCTTGTCATAGACGGACTAGGCATTAACTGACGAGCTTGTCCTGCTTCCAACAGTAGCCTTCGACTCGCTGCACCACGCTTTACAACCCCATCATCTCTAGACTAAAGATTTCAAGATTCCTTCTCGTCCATAAGCTACACAAGATGAAACCAAACAACAACTCCAATCATCCGAAGCCAACGGAAAGAAATTTGGTTGATTGATATTAGTCATGATCCAATCTGTAATAGGTATACTGAAAAACATACTCACTCGGTCCGGTTTGATCAAAGACGAACAAGTAGTCCTTGCCACAATGCAATCTCTAAAGACGTGAGACAGCGATTCCATCCCTGCACTGCACAGCATACAGCTTCCATCATCCGTTATATGCCTTCTCAGTCTTTCCTCATTAGTCAACAATTTGCCTTTACAGATTAACCAAAGTAGGAGACGGACCCGCAACAATCCTTGGAAGTTCTTAATGGAGTTCCAAGTCCGCTTATCATGAGTTACAGTAGTTGACCTTCTACTTTGATATGCACTAGAGATCGAGAAATGTTATTTCTTCTCCCAAATCCAGCTCGGTTGATCGTCCCCTCCATAAGTTACCGGAGCTTGAATTGCCGTAAGATGTAAAAGAAGCGGAGAAGATAAATATGTATTAATTTCCTCCCACTTCTAGTCACCCTGCGACGAAAACATTGAATCAACTGAGACAGGAGCCAATTGCCTAAATGGTGCATTCAAACATGAATTCCCTAAGCCAGGAATCTTTCCAAAAATCAATAGTTTTTCCATTACCCAAAGTCCAGACCAAGTCAATACAAACATCCGGCCAAACCAACGAAATTCCTTCCAATGGCGGGAGCAAGCTTGCCGTGATATTGAATGCGGAACGAACTCCAACATTTTGTATTTCGTACGAATAACCCTACTCCGGAGTTGATAAGGATGAGCAATAAGTTTATAGCCTAATTTCGTGAGGAAGGCAGTGTTTTCAGTGTGTGAATCTTTTTTATCCCAAGTCCTCCATCATCCACAGGTTGACACACATCTTCCCATCGAACTAAACTAATACCGTATTTGTTTTCAGAGTGACCGCAAATGAAATTACGGATCAATTGCTCAATATCATCACATACGTATATCTATATATTATAACATAAAAGTAACCCCCACATCGAAATAGACCAAAACCCTTTCCTTTCCCCAACATCTTCTTCTTAACCCTTGGATTCAGAGTAAAGATTGCCTACGTATATCTATATATTATAACATAAAAGTAACTCGTTATTAGAACAATCATGATTATTTTTTATTTTATGAAGACGTCGAAATTTAGATTATAAATATTGAAGTTTTAATCTTAGATATCTCAAATTATATAAGAGATGGTAAGTGTGTATTTTAATTCCAAAATTTTATATTTAGACTTTAATTTACAATTATCTTAGATTTGATTTCTAACAAAATTATTGATAAAATATAAGAAATTATAAAATATTATTGATAAAATACAAGAAATTATAAAATATCAAAATCTTAGTTTTTTTTGGTACCTTGCACTATAATGAAAAGGAGGGGAGATTAGCATTATGAATATGATTAATGCAATGAGCTGAAAAGTAAAAAGTGTAGATCATTTTAATATGGACATAAATTTTAAATTTTAAATGAAATAATTTTGTAAATCAAATATAAATTCCTGTCAAGTCCGGTGGGATAAAATTTGAAAAATAACGACTGCGACCCGAGATACGCAATTAGGTGTTGCCCAAAAGTCTTTTCTCTCTCTGTCCTCTTCCGCCGACTTCTTAACGGTTAGTCGTCGGGTTCTTGCGGCGGTGCTTTTACAGTTCGCCGGAGATCTGCTCAAAACCGCATTTGTGATTTACTTGGAATCCTTTGCTCTATTCCAGTGCTTTGGATTGACTCCCATTTGCAGATTTTAGTAGAGTTGTGCTGTTGTTTAGCTTCGTTCCCTGTTGAAAAATCTCTTTAAAGGTACCAATCGCACTGTTATTTTCCCTCTATATCTGGGTGATTGAATCTTTAGTACCGAGATCAGCATTTCATCTCGTGATACATTGTGGATAATTATATTTTATTGGGAGTTTTTTTGGTTCTTTACACCCCCGTTTTTATTATCATTTTCTAGTTTCCCTGGATACGAATTTCGTCTTTTTCGTTTAATTTATTTAATGAACTCGACATTGTAGCATTTCGCTCCTACGATTTGTTCGCTTGCAATGCTTCTCCGCGCGATCCGTTGGATAAATTTTTAACACTTGATCGTTCCGTGCTGTAGCTAGATTTAGTGGAGTTGATTAGTTGAATCATTGTGGTTTTTGAACTTTGTAGCATTACGTTAGTCTTACGTCTCTGTTGGTTCCTCAGAAAACAGAGGGCAATGGACATTTCTAGCAGCTTTATGTTGTTTTCATTTCTAGTATCTGAAAATTCTTTATAAACTAAGTTTTTAAGAGTATTTCCTTAAGCAGTTAAGAGGATCTCGACCATTAGCTTGTGGACTGAAGTTTTATAGATCTTTTGTTTATTTTTACCGCTTTGATTTATGGGGGGCAAGACATTTTTAAGTTTCAACTTTGATCAGGCCTTGTTTGGCTAGGATTTATTGCATATTTGGGTTGTGAGAACTGGAATAATCCCTCCTATTTGGCAATCCATTAGCAATTCTCAGTTATCATTTTCTTAGTTTTGTGTTTTGCAAGCTTATGGTAGAGACTTGTGCAATATTTGCTTAATTGACTACATTCCATAGACTGTTCATGTTTTCTGGGATTTATAATGCTGATCTTTTTTACTGACTTTTAACTTCAGGAAATTTTTTCTTTCATCAGGAAGTCAACAAAATGATTGGATCCCTTCTTACCAGAGGACTCGTGTATGTGCCATCTTACAATTGATTCTCTTTCACATTTTAGTTTTAATTTATTCTTTTACTTGAATTGTTTCCCTTTTCACCGTTAAATACTTTGGCAGGATGGTTTTTGGCTATGCTTATCCAGCATATGAGTGTTATAAAGCTGTGGAAATGAACAAGCCTGATATTGATCAACTGAGGTTTTGGTGCCAGTACTGGTTGGTTTTACCGTGCTATTGTTTTTTTTTTTTTTTGTGAAGATGCTGCAAATGTTATTTATGTTGTAACTTTTCTTTTGTCCTCTCTTCCCATTTTTTCTGGTTTCAGGATATTGGTGGCTGTTTTAACCGTTTGTGAGCGAATTGGTGATACTTTCATTTCATGGTAAGGTATAAAAAACGACAAGGATGTATGTGCCCATGTAATTTATTTTTTCTCACTGTGTTCCTTCTTTGCTTTTTTGAAGGGTTCCAATGTACAGTGAAACTAAGTTGGCATTCTACATATATCTGTGGTACCCTAAAACTAGGGTAGGTGCACTATCTTTTAAAGAAATACTAATAACATTTACTCCGCCATCTAAGTGTTGATTCTTCTTTTAAATTGGCCCTCTGTTTTCATTTATGTCAGGGAACCACCTATGTGTATGACTCTTTCGTTAGACCATATGTTGCTAAACACGAAAACGAAATCGACCGTAATTTGTTGGAATTAAGGACTAGAGCTGGAGATATGGCGGTTCTTTACTGGCAAAGAGCTGCAAGCTATGGCCAGACTAGAATTTTCGAGATCCTGCAGTATGTTGCTTCACAGTCAACTCCAAGACCTCACCATGCTCAGGTATTTATCTAATTAAAACCAATCTTATTTGGTTATGTGCAACCAGAAATTGTTTGTTTTGTGAAAATGGCCTCTCATCATCATGCATTAAACTGTTAGGTATGGGTGTAATTGATGTATATCAGTTGAAAATTGATTAACCTTTACTGAACTTTATTTTTGTACTGATTATTTCTTTCCTCCGTAACTTCGGATTTCTCAGGCACAGGGTGCTAGGGCTTCCCAACCCTCTGGTGGGCCGAACCGTCAAACATCTAGTAAAGCACAATCAGCACAATCTGGGGCTAAACAACCGCTATCACCGGCATCGAGCACATCTTCAAGCCAACACCAAAAGGAAGTAGCTGAAGATGTGGGACCTTCAAAAGTTCCTTCACAGTTGGCTAAAACACCTGCACGTTCAGCATCCTTAAATTGTCAGAAAGCAGATACTGCATCCGAAACAACCAGCCAGCCTGTGGAAACTGAAGCAGAAGCAACGGAAACTGAATTGCTGCCACCTCCGGAGAATGAATGCACGGAACCTCCCCCAAAAGAAACTCTCATGGAAGAAAGCATTCGACTCACGCGCGGTAGATTAAGGAAAACTCGATCTGCAGGCCAATGAAATAATGGTATTAGTGCATGTTCTTTCATGTTACTGAATTAGTATTTAAATCAGTAGGCATGGAATGGTATTGAATAAATGGTATTAAGATTGATGTAAATTTCTTGTGTTCTAGTTACGATTTCAGTGGTTGAATTGTTAGTCTATTATACACGTGTTTATAATCTCACATTGGTGCTAAAGAAGTCAACGGCTGAAAATTAATACTCCAAGTCTCGAGCCTTAATTCAACTTTGTACACAGAAAATGGTTTTTTAGTTCCTTTTAGGGGGAATATAACACTTCAACAGAAAAGCATAACATTTACTTTTAGGTCATATTCTTACTGTCGTCCTCTTATTATTTTAAAATTTTAATATTTAGTCACTATATTGAATAATTAGTCACTATACTTTAGCTTAACTTAATTTGGTCCTCCTTTTTTAATTCTAGTGAAATTTGATCATCTACTTGTTTATCAATTACTCCAAACCATTAATATAGTCGACTATTCTAGTTAAAATAATTATTTATTTTTATTTTAAATATCTTTAAACGTTTAATTGGTATATAAACTTTTTTTAAAAAATAAATTGTTTTGAATGCAATGTTTTTTTAGAGTAAATTATATGATTATTCACTGAATTTTACTATCTCTCTCCTATTTTACTCACCGTTATTTCAATTTTTTTAGTTTGTTCACTAAACTTTAAACATTAAGCTTTTTTTGGTCACTCTATCGTTAATCTTATAACAGCGTTATGACGTGATATTAAACTCTCTATTCTTTACAGTCATTTTGATCAGTCAATGGTCATTTTGACCATACGAGGAACACTCAATCATTTCTATGTGGCAAGCAAATGAAGTGCTCTTGAGGCAGCAAACCTACACCACCTTGGACAAGTTCAAATCCACGTCCCCTACCTGCAACTGCACCTTTACTTTGTCTTTCAGTATTTGTTCTCTTAGCTTGTGTGTGAAATGCCAAAACGAGACGAAAGTATCATCTGGCCATTTGGGTTCCTACATAAATACACAAGCTTTCAAAGTGAGTTCTTTTTGGGGTCTGGCAATAAAAAGTGGGTAAGTGAGTAGCAATTATTCTTGGAGATGTAGAATCGGTGAAATTAGAAACTTGACCATCGACGTGAACCTTGACCAGGAAGAATGAACAAAATCAAGAACGTGAGGATTCTTCGAGAGCAAAGGGTGATTGTCATCGGTGAATGGATATCGGTGTTCATCTAGGCAAAAGCAATAACCTTGAATCATGTTGTTCTCGATTTGGGATTGGTAACAAGGAAGATATCAATTTCTCGAGCTTGAAAGTGGCATCTAAGAAGAAAAACACTGCTTGTTCATTTTCAGACTTGGGTGATGATGATGATTCTATGGTTGCATTTTCAGGTAAGAAGAAAAAGTCATCTAAGAAGAAAAACATTGTTTTATTTGTTGTCTTGGGTGATGAGCTTGAAGACGAAGAGGGTGTGAAAGATGATGAGGAAGAAGATGCTCATTCATTTGGATTTTCAGGTAAGAAGAAGTCATCTTAAAAGAAAAACGTAGTTGCATTTGTAGCCTTGGATGACGAGCTTGAAAACGAAAAGGGTGTAAAAGAAGATGAGGAAGAAGATGTCCCTTCATTCTCTTTATCAAATAAGACAGAGAAAAAATCAAAGTCTTCTAAGAAGATTGGAAATTCCTTCAGTGCAGTATTGCTTGATGAAGAGGATGAAAGAGACCTTCCTGTACCTGAATTCACCACTGTTGTTGTTGATGATAACGATGATGATTCTTCCATGATCGCATTTTCTGGTAAGAAGTCATATAAGAAGAAAAGCAGTGCTGCATTTGCAGCCTTGGCAGAGCTGCAAAGTGAAGTTTCAGACATGGTGGAAACTAAACAGTCGAGTTTTGGAATCAGTAATGTCGAAGCTGGTGATTCTAAAACTAACAACAATAGTGAAAGGCAGCTGAAACTTCAAAGAACAAGAAGAAGAATGAGTGTGGAAGGACTGCTCAATAGGAGGAAGATTTGGATAAAATTCTCGCTGAATTTGATGATGGGCCTCCTAGGCTCCTACAGCAAAACCCGCAGAAGCAGCCCCTCCCCAAGAGGAGAAAGCTCAAGTTCTGTAGGTAGTAATGGGAGTGAGTGTTGCTGGAGAAAACCAAGCTATATAACGATGGAAGAAAAACCAAAGCAGTAAGACCGAAGCAAAAGCAACTTTTATTTTAAATGCAAATAAAAGCAGCTTTTATTTTAAATATAAATCCTGTGTCTGAAAAATATTAAAATAAGTCACACCATCATGCATGCTGTATCGAAGAAAACAGTTCAATGTATAATGTTTACTGAGTAAATTGAAAAAATTAAAAATACGGAGAGTAAAATTCAATATATAAACTTGTAATTTACTTTTTCTAAAATATCATTGAGCACACTATATATGTGTGTATTCCAATATTATTTTATGTCGAACAATTAGAGATGTCAGCGCTTTAGAAAAACTAATGATATTATCAAAATAAAATAAAAAGTTAAATTTAAGCATATAACCAATCAACTAGTCAATAGTGTAATGGAAAATAACCTATCTTATTATCAACTTTAATCGACATATGATATCGGATTTTAAAAAGAGCAAACCGTCACCCCTCATAATGAAAATGCTCATAGATTTTAATATCTTAGAGGGACAAACCAGAATTTGAGCTATATTATATAATCATATCGTGCTTGAAATTGTTGTTGTGTGTGTTTATTGTTGAAAAAACATGATAAATCAAAATTTTTGAGGTATATTTTCTAATTAAAATTTTTGAGGTATATTTTCTAAGTGTAAATATAAAGAATTGAATAATGAATTTATTGATTCATGTTTTATTACGTGAGATATTTACAAAGATATATCATATGTTAAAAACGATTGAGTAATGAATTAGAAATTGATGCTCGAAGTAGGGTACATGTGAATTACATTTGTAAGGAAAATGAGAAAATACATATCCCACATTAATGAGATATTAAGCAATGAAATAGTTTATATACACAAATCAACTTGCTAATAAATAAATGACTTATGTTGAAATTGTGCCTCATGTAACAAAGCAAGGGTGTAAATTGAAGTCTATTAAATCCATTGGAATTGGAGTGATGCCAATGTCTAGATTGGTTAATTTTTGTTTTTGTTTGCTAAAGTTCGTGGTCTCGTAAGTTGTGTTAAGTGCGCTTACTATGTCATTTTATATTCTGGAAGACAAACGACCAAGACATCTTGAGGAGACATACTGTATGTTTTCTTAATAACCAAATGGAAACCCGAAACCCAGATTTTACCTCTCTTGGCATCAGAGTCTTGGGAATTACCCTGGAAGAAAGGGGTTTCAGAAAATTAGATACAATTTTTTGAAACTGTAAAAATAAAAATAAAAAAATGGGATTTACCCCAACACGTGGCGGCCGCCATCAAAGACAGCTTGAGAAACGAGGCCCATCAAACCGATTATTCCTCCTCCATAAATCAAGTCAATGTTCCTTTCAATCTACACGTTTTATTTTATCCATGTTATTAAAACTTTACGTGTCTAATTTAAATTATATAATCTCTGCAATTACTCCTTCCCCGCTGCTATTTTATTACAAAAAGAGTTTTAAAAAAAATCAAATCAAAGGATGACTTTGAACAGCGAAAACAGCTTTGCTTTGAGTAACTCAAGGATGAAGAAGGCTGAATTCCTTTGGTCTTCAGTTTGGGCGTCCATGTAAAAAGGAAAGAACCCACTCCAGAATTTAACAGGCAAAGAAGATTTTTTAGAAGAAGGTTGATAAATACCAGTTGTTTGGCAAGCTGGTAGCTAGGATTCTTGCCGGGACTACTACCGCAAAACACACACACGTTTGAATCTTGAATTCATTTGACGTTGGTGGTTTCCCATAATAGGGAAGGCTTGAAACGGTTGGCTTTTGCTCCAAATGCTCAGATATCTCTGAGGCTCAAAAGTTAAGGAGGAAGGAGAGAGATGATGGGGGAAAATGGTGGGATTGTTGTCCTTTTTATATAAAATCAGAAATGCCCCACAATCCAACACATCACGCACGTCTCTCTCAGCTTCATCGTCATCACTGTAGCAGGCTGAGTTTGAGGAATATACTCTCTTTTGTTTTGCAATCTAATCCCTCTTTCTTTCTCCTTGTTTTCTGGATTCAAATACGCCTCAATTCACGAAACATTCTCTGAGATTTACACACGTATCTAAGATGATCTTATTTCAACTACCATTAAATGCTAAAGTTAAATCCTCATATCCTTTTTGTTGTGGAATTCGGGTTAATTTCCATCAATAATAATAAATTCACCTTAAAAACTATTATCTAGGTTACTAGTGTGAAAACGATTGTACTAAAAATCACACCAAGGTAGATTCCCAGAAAAGAGGAGGGGTCACAATGGTCCCTCTTAAAACTCATTTTCCTTAGACAGAACTACCAAGACAAGTAATTTTAATAGGACAATAATTAACAACAACTATACCCGACAATAGCTATTAAATAGACATAAAGAGAACACCAAAATTTAACGAGGTTAAGCCAAAATTATGCATACCTCCTCGAACACTAATAAAATAATATTTCACTAGTAGAGGAAATATTACAAAGAGAGAAAGAGTACAAATAGCTTTTAATAGTGAAGAAGGCTTATATTTGTGAGATACTAAACTAAGGAGGAGGGCTCTATTTATAACAAAAGAATTTCTCCTCCTCCTTATACACAACCAATGTGGGATTTTGCCAAAAAACCAATAAATCTCCACCTTGGCAAATTTCACATACATCTCTCAAAAATCCAATCTTCAGTAGTGTCTACAAATTCATCTTTCAATTTGTAACAATATTGACCAAGTCTAAACAATGTTTAAACTTGACTGCAGTTACCACTTTTGTCAACATATCAGCAGGATTCTCAGTGGTCCGAATCTTCTGGATTATGACTCCACCTTCTTCTAGAATCTCTCGTACAAAGTGATATCGAACATCGATGGGGTTCGTCCTTGCATGGTAAACATGATTCTTTGCTAAATGAATAACACTCTGACTGTCACAATGCACTTTGATGTGCTTCTGTTCCATTCCCAATTCACCAAGCAACCCATGAAGCCAAATTGCCTCATTCACAGCCTCTGTAACTGCCATATACTCTGC